TGTCACAATTGCAGTGCGCTTGGCCATGTCAGACACTGAGGCACAGCCGGCTCCCGGCATGGAAGCACATGAAGAAAGTGCATCACACAGAAAGGAATGATCTACTATGTTAATACTGCTGATAGATCAAGGTAGATAGATGAGCACCGAGAACTGGCCACTGGGTTTAGCATCATGGACATCACTGTTGACCTTGACAAAGCAACTTGGCAGAAATGATGATGCTGGAGAGCCTAACTGGAGCGGGTTTGGAGAGAACAGGTGTACACACTCTTTCTAAGAGTTCTGCTGAAAGGGAGAGTGCAAAAACGGGGCACTGTGCAGGGAGAGGGGGTCAAAAGATGATTATAAGATGCAAGAAATAACATGTTTGTATGATGATTGGAAACATCCTATAGAGAGGGGAAAATTCTGGCACAGGGAAAGAAGGAAGAATTATTGGAATGAATGAATGGATATTAGGGAATCTGAGAACTCAGAGTTAAATCTACTTTTAGTCTCCTTTAAAATCATAAGTAAAGAGAAGTGTGCAAAAAAGGTCTCAATACAAACTCTCCATCCAAAATACTTTTAGGATAATAGCTTTTAGCAAAAACAATTAGAAATCCTGAAAAAGCTATTCAATGAGGAGTGCAAGAGGCTGAAACACCCAGACATGGGAAACCTCTTCAGCAGACTCCCACATTACTCACCTCAGGTGCAGCTTGCCTTTTGTAGCTATCAGAATCTTCCAAGATCTGAAAATAACTGTGCATGTATTCTGCAGCTTGCTGCCATTGGTGCTTCAGCAGAGCTTCTTGGATGAAACTTAAACAAGCACTTGTTGTCTGAGCAAAATCCTTCTCCTTTTTTCCTCCAGTCACTAGAAAGATTAAAGAGAAGAACCTTTACCCAGCGACCCCAATTCAACAGTTAAAAAAGCTTACTTCTGATAAGAGAAAGTTTTAGCAAGTAAAACAGTAGGTATTACTTAACCCAGACCATCCCCAATATCAAAGCTGGCTTCACTTGAAACCAACTCTTTCACAGTTTTAACTAGTTTTAGAAAATGAAAAAAAAAATGTCTATTTTGGAGATATCTGATTTGATGTTCTTCGGCTTCCCAGAGCCACCAGATGCTTTGGATCTGATTCAATCATCTTTCATCTTTGCACTGAACAATCTGGGTAGGATCTCTCCAAGAGGGCTGCAAAGCACAGTCGCAAGTATTCAGAATGGGTAAAAACCAACAGGGTCATCCTAGGCAAGCATGGTCTTTATTACCTACTAGTGTTCTGAAAACAAGAGGCGGGTCTTTATTTTTTAAGGTCCGAGCTTCTAGTAACGCAATCATATTAAATGCAAATGAGATTCCTACAGTTGGAGACATTCGCATTTATATCTCTAGAGCCCTGACAACCCTCATGTTAAGAATATTGGGACTTTGTTACAACCCACTTTGGGAGTAACAGGTTGCATGCTATCACCTCCCCTTCCCTTTCCACACCTCTGCAGAACGCCCACAGGCCAGCAGCCCTCCCGCTCGGGGATCCTCACTGCAGGGAGGACAGACACTGATGGGTACCATGCAGAGATAGTTTTACAGCCCTCAGCCTGCAGATCTGCCACTTCCTCACATACTCTTTCCTAAAATTAACCTCCGAAAGAACTGTGCCTACAGGCAAGTCTTTGTTATTAAAATCAACACACGTTATCTTGGAAGGGGAAAGTGCAGGTGTGAGTGTTCAGAAAATCTAACATCCATTTCCAAGTCAAGTGGTTTCCAAGTCTTTGCTTATCAACATGGTAGAAGGACCTAATAATTCTTTATAACAGATCACAAAGTAATGTTTTCATAAATAATTCAGAAACTCAAAGACCTGATCCTTTGCCATAATTAAACTCCACCCATGGCCATCTACTTACTTATGTGACCAAGGTTTCTCAGAATCTACATCAACTAAAAACAAAATATAATAGAATTGAAGCTAAAGCTTTTCTCATTCTAGAAATATATACTATTCATCCATAGATACATGAAGTAATTGGAAAAAAGCGATAACCTTATCTATTTTATTGACATATAAAAGCAATAAAAACTTATTTTAATACTTAAAATTTAACAAAACTTTTAATACTTATAGTCTTTTTTTGATCAGCTATCAATTATTAATTATGATGTCTCAATCTAGAAGAAATTTTAATACTTAAAACCTTATAGGATATTACAAAAAATTAAACATAGATACTACTTTTAGTGCAAGAATAAAAGTATAAAAGGAAAAGGAACAAAATAACATTTCCATCTATTAAAAACCTTTTCATAAATTGTTTTAAATGGATGAAGAAAGAGATCACATTCCTATGCTATTTCTATGTAGATTCCACTAGATATATTTGTTAAGATTTTTATGCATTTATTTATTTATATATTTATTAAATTTATTGGGGTGACTTTGGTTAGTAAAATGATATGTTTCAAGTGTACATGTCTGTAACATAGCATCTATATATTGCATTACGTGTTTATATATTTTTAAAAGTAATATAATAATTTCATTTAAAAATGCCAACAAATGCTGAAAATTGCTAAAAATGCCAAAATATGCTATTAAAACTTATGATACAATTTTCAGATGGCACCTTAAAACTGTGCAAGGCAGTACATAGATTTTTTTTTTTTTAAATGTAGAGGGTATGTAAGCAAAAATGTTTGAAGACAAGTCTCTAGACTAATGCTTCTCAAATTTTTGAAATGTCTGTACACATCACTTGGGGGTGCTGCTGGCTGCTCAGTGTGGTCCTGGAGCCAGGAGCATTAGTACCACTGCGGAGCTTATTAGAAATGCAGACTTCTCTGCCCCCGCCCCCACCTCCTCAGGTCTCTGAATCAGAAGTCGCATTTGACAGCTACACACACGCTGCCCCAGATCTGCAGCAACACCAGGCAGCTAACGTGGGAAACAGGCAAAGCACCTCTTCCCTAAAACCTCATTTATTCACCAAAAGGAGGACTGATCTCAGGCCAAGCTCCCTTCTACCCGTCAAGCTTTCAGAGCTCAGACTGGAAATCCTTGGCATCGTCCCCTTCTGTCTTTCATCTTAGCCTAGATACCTCAGGAATATCTCATTTCATTCTCTTGGGAGCAAAAGATAATCTTATTTTGTTGCTGACAAACTTGAATTATTAATAATTGGCAAGGAAAATAAATTTGACATGGAAGGAGATGCAATGAAGAACCATGGCCATCACCCAGACTTCTAATGCCCTTGAAAGAATCTGGAACCTTGTCGGTCTGTCAACAAATACTTGGGGGGCACTGCTATGTGCCAAGCACTATTCTAGGTACTCAACATACAGCTTTATTCCAGATTGGCCCCTGCCTTCAAAGTTCTTATTCCAGAGGCACGCTCTTCGCAATGACAAAAGATAGCAGAATAAAAAATAAATAACTGTTAGGCAATCTCATTTTCCTATTATGGTTAATTGTCACTACAATGCCTATATTACCTGAAACTATTTTCTCATTGAAGATAAAGTATTTGGGGTTTAACAGGCTATCCATAACATATGACACATTTCTAAGCTTGTAAATTCTGGTCTTAAACCTATTTGTTAGAGGACTGGCTCAAGCTCTCTATAGAACACTGGTGACAGGAACAAGCCCAGGTATGCCTTAACTGGCAGGAACTTTAGATGACTGTCCCCTACAAGAGGTGAAGTGCCACAATCTCTGATGCAGCATCCATCCAAACCTGGTTTAAACCATGCTCATGAATTAGCAAAAATAAAATGAGAAGAGAGGAAAGAAACTATTATTTTTCCAACACACACTATACATGAAGATCTATGCTAGGCACCTTACATATATTATTTTAACTCTTGCTTATATATTTCAGTCATTACAAATTGAGGCTTTGAGATCAGATAGACCTGGCTTTGACTCCTGAGACAAGCACTTAAAAGTTTAAATTCTTTGAGATTTAGCTTCTTCACCTTTAAAACGCCAAGCATATAGATTTACTGAGAATTAATTTGCTGAGATAATGACATGAGGTGAGGATTAGATTAAAAGATAAAGAAATAGGAGCTAAATTCCAGGAGCCAAGGAATCTCAGTCAAGGGCAAAGAAGGCTAGGCCAAGAAAGACGTATTTGAGAACAGTAAGAAAAATGCCGGCCCAAATCCATTCCCAAAACTTCACCATCCATACGCCAACATACAGACAACAGCTTCTTTTATATATTCTTATAGGGAATTAATCCCATAGAAACACTTGCTTATATCTACATTAGATGAAAATGGGGGGAAATATTCTTTTTTCAAAACCTANAAAAATGAATGAAGTACTAAATACAGGCTAGAACATGGCTAAACTCTGAAAACATTATGTTCAGTGAAAGAAATCACTCACAAAGGCCACATAGTATACAATTCCACTTATATGAAATGTCCAGAATAGAAAGTGCTAGATTAGTGGTTGCCAGGAGCTGGGAGGTGAAGATAGGAACAGGAGGCGACTGCAAGCAGGTACCGGGTTTCTTTTGGGGGGGGACAAAAAATATTCTAAATTGAGAATGTGGTACTGGTTGTGGTACTGTGAATATGTGAAAAAACATTGAGCTGTGCACTTTAAATGGGTGAAATGTATGGTGTGTTAATTATATCTCAATAAAACTATTATTTTTAAATTTAAAAAAGGCTCATTCTGGTTGCTATACTGAAAACAGACTAGGGGATGAAGAGCAAGCAGTCATCTAAGTGAGACGACAGTGGCTTGGATCAAGGTGCAGCCATGGAGGTGGTGAGAAGTATTCAGGATGCAGGTACGTTTTGAATGCAGGGCCAACAGAACTTTCTGATGGTTTGGATATGGTGAACGATCACTCCAGAGTTTGGCCCTAGCAATGAGATTCCAAAATCACCATCATCTGCGATGAGGGAAATTAGGATTGATGGTGAAGATCAGAAGACCCATTTTAGATATGTTAGAATGACATGACCATTAGTTATCCAAGTGGTGATGTGATAAAATCTGGACTTGAAGACAGATGTCAGGGCCACAGATATGCAACTGGGAACTGCCAGCATCCAGACTAAATTTAAGGTTATGAAACTGAACGAGAT